ATGTGTATGGGTTGAAGGCAAAGCTGACTATTTCTTTCCAGTTTCTTCCTGACTCTTTGCTCTTATCTACTTGCCTGGGTTCCTGGCCTCAGTCCTCATTCTGGATTCCATCCTCAAAGGCCTCTCTGACGGCTGAAGATACAAAAAGGGTTTCTGGAAGAAGAAATTGTAAGCCAGGAACTACTAACAACTAAGACAGAAGCACCTGCATGGTCAGTCATCAGCTCAGGAAAAGGCAGGGCTGAAATGGGTAATATCATGTATTACCTAGATCCAGCCATGCCCAAAGCCCCTGCATCTTTTGATGAAAGGAACAAGAAAAATAAATCTGAGTTTTTGTTTAAGAAAGTTACAGCTGGTTATTTTTCCATTTATAAGAATAACATAAAGGTGGAGGGGATGGAGAGATGGTTCAGCAGTTAAGAGCACTGGCTGCTCTTCTAGAGGACCTGAGTCCAATTCGCAGCACCCACACGACAGCTGACAAGCATGTGTAATTCCAGTTCCAGGAGATTTGACACCCTTTTCTGGCCTCCTCAGGCATTTCATAGGTGTTGTACACAGACATACATGCAGGTTGATACCCAAACACATAAAATAAAAATAAATAATTTTTTAAAAGAAAGAACATGAAAAACATCTCGATTAAAGCAGTACTAGGCGTCTGCTATGACTTCTAAGTGCAGATCCTCTGCAACAGCCAAGGCAGGGTGTAGAGAGCTTTAGATGGGCTACCTAATGTGGTGTCTTAGTTAGGGTTACTGCTGTTACGATGAAGCACCACGACCAAAAGCAAAGTGAGGAGGAAAGGGTTGATTTGGCTTACACTTCCACATCACAGTCCATTTCTGAAGGAAGTCAGAACAGGAAGAAACTGATTTGGAGGCCATAGAGGGGTGCTGCTTACTGGTTTGCTCCCCATGGCTTGGTCAGCCTGTTTTATTATAGGACCCAGAATCACCATCAACCCAGGGATGGACTGGGCCCTTCTCCCATCCATAACTAATTAAGAAAATGCCTTACAGCTGCGTTATGGGGGAAAGTGCCTCCTGGAGCTGCGTTTTCTCAGTTGAGATTCCCTCCTTTCCAGTGACTCTGGCTTGTGTCAAGTTGACATAAACCAGCCAGCACACATGGGAAATCCAGAATCTGGAGACATTGGGAAAGAAGCAAACTGGCCAGTCCCTACCTCAGGAGGCCTCAGTTCTGAAGATCAAGGAAGACTTTCAGGTCTGATTTGTGTGCCTGGAGTTTTACAAGACGAATTAGTCAGACTCACCTATGGGTTTTCCTGAGGTTGCCCCAACTGATGATAATAGTTCCCTTCTGCTAGGCTCTTGGTACAAGCCAATGTGTTATGTGGATAATCTCATTTAATACTTGCGGCAGCTCTGATAGACACAGTACTGGCATCATTTTCTAGAAACTCTTCCATAAAATCCAGAGAACAATTGTAGGACTTTCAGGTCTTGGTTTGAATTTAAGATTAAAAGAATCCCACTGTCTCAGGACACATCCCGGGAGGGGGCACATTCCTTAGTCAGAGGACACTTGCTAGATTAACTTTCAGAGGAAGATGGGAGAGGCTGATCAATATTCCTCAGACCACAGGGGAGGGAACCCACTTTCTGGTGAGGAAGGCCCAGAGCACACAGACACATTCCAGGAATCAGGAAGCTGGACCCTTAACGTAATAAACCTGGGCAAATGGAAGACACTCATTGTCATAATCTGAGTCACCTAGAGACAGGCCTTTGTGGTTTCCCGTCAACTCCGTATAAAAACTGTTCCCAACTTTGGCTCTGGGTTCCTCTTGTCTGTGTTCAGGGGAACCCCAGAATACTGGTTCATATTATCATCTTATCATCAATAAACCTCATGTTATTGCAGCGGATCCCATCCGTGAGTGTGTCTGGGGGAACGCATCCCCTGGTTTTGGATCTTAGAATCCAACACAATCTAGTTTTGAACTAGTGAGTTTATTAAGTATAGAGCAAACCAAAATAAAAGAAGAAATAGCAAATATCAGACAGGCAGACAGGTAAGTAGACAGACAGAAAAACACCATCAAATCATGTACTCAAAACATCCAGCAGAAATGGACTTCGGAAGCCTGTTGAGGCAGTCATCTGGTGAGCCTGAGAGAGTGCAGGGTGAATCCATTTGCGTGTGAGGCTTCCAAGAAAAATTACAAAGAACACACAAACAAACAAACAAACAAACAAACAAACCAAACCAGCAGGAGGATAGCAGCAGACCGAGGGCTCATGGCTTCTAGCAGAAACTGACTGGAACTTGAGGAAGTTAGCTGGAGCTCCCAACTGAGCTTTCTGTCAACAAACAAGCCTTTGGTGGATGAGCCCTCTCGTTTCCACTTTGGCACTCATAAACGCGGGGTAAACCAGAGGAGCACAGGAAATCATTTACCTTCAGGCTTTTCTCAAGGACGTTTGTTTTGCTGTTCTCCTTTTTTGTCACAGAGTTGGGGGCGGGCAGATCACTTCCGAACAAAAGGCCTTGAAGGACACTTTGAGTCAAACATACTTGGTCTCAAAGATTGGTGTGTTTGTTGGGGTGGGGGGACCCCACTTTCAGAGCCAGCTTTTTGATGGGCTCAAACACATGACAATTTACCAACACATCAAAGAATCAAAGTCTCAGGAAGTCAGATAGCTCAGTGACAGAGTAAAGCTTTAAGCCCAATATATCATACTCCCGAACCTGTGATTTTAACCACTGTAAGTCACTGATGGTCTAGTGCTGCAGAGGGCTTCTGCTAGATGAAGAATTAATATTAATCTTTCCTGTTGGTGCAGTCCTCAAAGTTTATAATGCAAAACTGAATATGCAATATTACTGCATAATTTTGGTACACATAGAAACAGACTCAGACGTAACAAATGACTTGCTCAATCATTTGGGAATTGAATACACCACAGAGAGGTGAGCCTTTTCAACATGAAGGACCAGGCTGTAGTTTGCAGAAACTCAATGTGTGTGCTGAGGCAGAGGGAACAAGCCTCCTCACATTAACCGTGCATAAGAACAGTGATCGAGTCAGTCTGTCAAGAAAGGTCCTTAAGAAGTAAGGGGACCAGTGGGCACTATAGCCACAGATCCAATTGCAGAACACAAACCCACTACAGCAATGAGCCCTGAATTCACACAAAGGTTCCCAGCTCCAGCCACAGCCCATTGATTTTTCAGCAACACTTGATATGGTCAAATTCCAGTTTAACCAGAGAGATCCTGCTTCCTGGTGTTCCCAGGGGGAGTCTAGCTATGACAAGAGCCCCTTTCTTCTGTCAGAACATCCTCAGCAACAACAGGCTGGAAGATGGGTTCAAACTGTCTCAAGAATTCCAACTCCTTCCCCAGAGCATCTAGCTGCCTGGTTTCTTTCCCGAGGAAAGATGTTGTCCCAAGCCAAGCCATATGGGCCCTCTGTGCTGGGCTGTTCTGACACCCTGCCAAGAACGGAGGCACTGGTCCTAGACAGACAAGGCAGGGCTGTCTTTCACAGTTCTCTAGGTGAACAACCAGGCAGGGACCCAGGCAACAGGACAGAAAGGAAACTGGGCAACCAGTATGAAAGTGTGCCAGAGGACCGGAAGATGAGCAGACCCTCCTGTTCTCTGCATGTGGAAAAGCCCCCTGCCCTGGGTCTTCCTTGAAGCTAGGTGAGCAGCTTTCTTAATTTGTTTTCTTAAATGCAGTCTCTGTGCTCCAAAAACTAGGGCAGGCATTGAAGGGAGGGCAGAGGGAAATAAACAGGTCCCTGAGTTGAGGCCAGCTATTCCAAGTCTGGGAAGGCCAGCACAGGTTCTGAAGAGAGATCTCACAACTCTGCTTCATGTTTTCCTGAGACCTTAACTTTTTTTTTTTTTGTCATGCCTGTGTTAGTGCTTATTGACAGCCTTTTGGGTATTGGGGGTTTGATGTTAAGCAACCAGGAGGAAGCACAACCTACATCAGAGACGTCCTCTGAAAGAAGCAAAGACTGAGTTGAGGTGTAGAAGAAGCGTAGATCATTGAAGAGGGTGAGAAGGGACATCCCACTCAGAGAGCACTCCAAAGGCAAACCACTTGGCAACAGGAGAAAGACTTCTTCGAGGTGCTAGAAGAAAACTTAAGATGCTGAAGTGCAGAATGAAGTCACAGAAGAGGGTGTGTGGGTCCTTCGGTCAAGAGCAGACATCTTTTGGGGTGCTCTTAACGGGACTGTGAAACAATGGTACTTGGAGAATACTTTAAGAGCACAGTGAGCAATAGAAAGGAAAAGGTCAGAGACATTGGAGGCAGACTGGGTGGTGTGGGTATGTGTCTGAACAAAGTGGATAGTGCTGAATGCCATTTCATAGCCGCTGTTTCACTGAGATACTGTTCTGTAAGTGTTCATTCTAGTATCCAGCTCACAACCATAAAAGCTCAGTAAGTGTCATTATCGAGACTTATGGTGCTCTTGGGGTGCAGATCTTTTCTGATTCATGCCTGCTTGAGGCGAAGAGAGTTGTGGTGATTCCTACATGTAGTAATGTGATTTGTACTAAGTCATACGTCAAGACTCCAATCCAGAAGGAACAGAACATTCCTTTTAGAATGACTAGAAAGTATGAATGAGTCTCAAAAAAAAAAAAAATGGCTTTCAATTTTCCCACAAAGATGCATTCCACCTCCATCCCTGAGTGTAAAATCTAGTGTTCACAGAGAAAACAAACAACACACACACACACAACTCCAGATGCTTCCTTGGTGTTAAGAGCGGGTGTACTCCCAGAGAAGTGAAGGCTTCAGACCAGACCTGTCTCCCCAACCTCTGGTGCTGGGCTCGGATAAAGGGTGCCAAGAGGAGGAGGGGTCCCCGGAAGGCCCCGCTCCAGCGCATCCTCCTGGCCCCTCCGCAGTCACGTGGCCCAGTGGGTGGGGACCGACCTGAAGTTGGAGGAATCCGGAGCTCTTCCAACTTCGGAGCACAGAGGTGCAACTCTGAGAAGCCGAGCATGGCTCAGTTGTCAGTGATCCCGGGATCGGCCGCGGCGTGGACAGGTGAGCCGGGAGCCCGAGGCGCCGACTAGGGTGAAAGAGGCTAGGCTGCTGGAGCCCAGGGCCGCCCAGCTCATTCCATGCAGTGCATGGAGGGCAGGGCAACCCACGCGGGAGAGGGGACAGTTGGGCGAAGCGGATCCGCTTAGACCCTCAGCGCTCCGGGGTCAGTCTGTCAGCCATAGGCTGCTCCGAGCTGCCTTTTTCCTCAGGATGGTTGATGGAGCAAAGGTGGGTGGTTGACGCTAGATAGATCCCACCCCGTCCCTGAACCTGCGCCAGAGGGGCGGGGCGCTTTGCTGGCCACGCCTTCTCCTGCGCGCACTGGCTGCTCCCCGTGACGTCACGCTCGGCTATAAAAGGCGCGGGAGCAGGCTCCCGCGGCGCTGTCCAGGAGCTCGAGGTTGAGGGTGCTTGGGAGGGGACACCCGGCCGCCCGGCCGCGGATGTCTAAGCGATGTTTTACTCAGGGCTCCTCACCGAGGGCGGCCGCAAGGAGACAGACATGCGGGAAGCGGCGTCCCTGCGGCAGCAGCGCCGGATGAAGCAGGCGGTGCAGTTCATCCACAAGGACTCCGCCGACCTGCTGCCCCTGGACGGCCTCAAAAAGCTGGGCTCGTCCAAGGACACGGTGAGCTCCCCACCATCGGCCACGCCCGTCACGGGCCTCTGGGCCGCCACTGATGCCCAGGCCCTCACTGCCACTTTCACTGAGTCACCAGCCAGGCTTGCCGCTGTCCGCTCCCTGGCGGGTGCTCGGCACAACCCCTCCCTATCTCACATTCCCGGAGTCTAGTAGCTTTCCTTGCCTGTTCTACCTTGGCGCAGTCTCCTCCCTCCCGACTCTCTCTTCCCTGGCCAAGAAAGAAAGAGACCCTGCCCTATTCCCCTCAGATCCCCTTTCCGCTGGCTTATCCAGAATCTAGAGTATGGCTCCTGGAGCTGGAAGTCCTGGCTTCCACTGCCTCCTCACAGGCTGCGTGGCCAGTTATGTGTCCCCCAGACTGAGGTGACTCGTAGTGGGTGATTGAGAAACAGTGAAAAGCGAGATTTCTGGAAAGCTGCTGAATATATTGGTTGATGCTATTGCGCCCCCTCCTCGCTGCCCCAAATCTACTCAGTTTAGGTCTTAACCTACCTTTGATTTTCTACCCTGGGTGAGGGAGTGGGGTGAGAAAGGGGAATAGGGGTCAAGCTCAAATCTTTCCAGAACCTAAACATCTCTTCTCCACTCTCAACTCTCCCTCTTCTAAAGTCTTCCCTCTAAAGGGTGGGAAGATGGAGGAAGCCCTGGCTGCTTCATCTCACAGACCAGGTGATGCGTGGACATAGTTGGAGCTGGGCTGTTGTAGTCTTTTTATTTCTGGCAGTATTATTCTTAGTATTAAGTAGAAGTTCAGGACGTGGGCCAGAATCCAAAACCATATTGTCCTCCATCTCTTGAATAAGGGTGAATGGCTGAGGGATGTGACCTATATTTAATTCTTTCTCCTTGCTCACAAATTTGTATGTAACTTTGTAGCTTCATTTGGAATTGTTATTGTTGTTATTTTGGAGAAAGATTTTTTTTTAATGAGACATCAGGCTCTTGATCTATATAACCTAGGCTGGCTTGAATCTTATTACATAGCCCATGTTGGCTTCTAATTCTTAATTCTCCTGTCTCAGCCTCAGGATTGCTGAGATTATAAGGTGTGTATCATCACTCTTAGCTTTGATTGTTTTTTTTAATTTATAGTTTCCTTATTATCTGTGGAATAATTTATGAAACATCAATTAAATGTCTTTTGCAGTAGAAATAAATGCTCTGGATAATCTTTCTAGTATTTTATATTTTGAGCTTCTGAAATACTTAATTGTGGTTGTTGGCTTTGGTTCACTGAAATTGCTATTTCTGGCCCCAGTATGGCACCAAAGGCAAGAGCTTCTGCTCCTCCCTCCCCATCCACAGTTCTAACAATTCATCAATACCAAAGATTTTCCCTGCCTACCATTACCCTTTGAAGGGAATGTTACTCCAGCTATCTTACTTTGTTTTTAAAAGCTATTTTTCTGCTTGAGCCTGGGTATAGTTGATCTAGTCATGTTAACCAAGAGTGATGTGATTAAAGTTTATTCCTACCAGAGATAGCTGTCTCTTCCTTCATTCACTTGAAGGCATTCATGATTCATTTGGCAAACTCAGTCCAAATCTTCTCACTTTCAGACCAAAGTAATCCTATTCAATAAAGTGTGTGTGTGTGTGTGTGTGTGTGTGTGTGTGTGTGGTGTATTACTAGAAGAATCAAAATGTGGACTTTTAGAATGCTGGATCTAAGGTACTGATGTTTGGTTTGAGTGGCTGAGAAGTTTCTTAATGAGAATCATCACAGCATCTTTCTCCTTAAGATTCCATATACTGCTTTGAACTATGTAAGGATAATTCTTTTCTGACTCTTGTGTCATGACTGAGCTACAAGGAGCTGACAGCATGGCTGAAGGCTATAGGAAGGATGCTTTCAGCCATGGGTATGACACACAGCAGTTCACCGTGAAACCCTGAACTATAGTTCACACTTTTCTGTACCCCATTTTCATAGAATTAATTCCCCTCTCTCACTGTTCTCACACCTTTAATGTGCAAGCCATTGCAGGGAGAATCAGAACACATCCCAGAAACCAAGGCTGACTGGGGGAGGGTGGGGAGAGCTGCAAGGGTAGGCGAACCAGCATGCTTGAAACTCCCTTGGAACTGATGTTTGCAGCCTCAGTACAAGCTCAGAAGGATTTTAGAAACACATTTTATCAACTCATATAACAGACAAGACAGATCATGCTGACTCCACTTTGTTCCACAATGTGAAATTTGTAGATTTTACTTGAAGTAGTTTACCAAACAACCCAATAGAAAGGGGACAGAAAAGGGAGGTACAAAAGGAGGACACAAATCTAATTCTTATTGACACGGGGGTTTGAGCAATGTTAAGACTATGGATTATTTCTTATCATGTAAGTATCCCATGTTTTAATTATGCTGCTGGCTTTTCTGAATCATCTACCTTGTACCGTTCTATCTCTGTAATGTTTATGGTTCGATAGCAAACGCTGCTGGTTTAGCAGATGGCACCTGTAAGGCGATCAAAGATGGCCATATTCTCCTGGCCCCATTCCTTTGCCCAATTCCTTTGTGTGTGGAGTTGACTGCTACAAAATCTGCTGTGGAAGTGAATTGTATAGCTTATGTCTGACTCCCTTATTTTATCATTCCATTGTATTGTGGCTTTTGTATTAAATTAAGAACTAAAACCAAATTTATGAGCCATGTTATATATGACTTTAAAAAAATAATAGCACAAGACAAAAGCATCTTTATTCTTAGAGTTTTACCCATTGTAATTTTTCTTGTTTTGGATAATAAAGTTCTTGTTGTACTAAAGACTTTACTCTTTGAAAGCATATGTCATGTGATAATATGCTGTGTTTCTTACATGATGTTATTACTGGCCTGTCTGGCTAGATCCCTCCTTGGCTTGTAGCAGAGAGAAAATTTCTTTCCTTCCTATGTTTGAGTCTGCATATAGCTTAAAAGCTTTAGCCAAACTAACTAGAATTAAGGCTGGGGGCAGGGGGTGGGGGGAGATAGTGGAACACAGTGAGGGAAACTGACTATCAAATACCTGATGAGAACAGATCTCTGTCAATTAGAGAAGCTCAGGCTGGTGCCCTATAGATTAGCTACCTATAATGCCATGGGTCAAGGACTAGAGAACTTTGTAGCCTTGGAAGGAGCTTTAAAAGGCCAAGGACAGTATAATTATATCCTCTAGAAGGATGCCTGTCATGAGATGCAGAGAGCATGGGTGGAAGTTGGGCGTGGTCAAGATGCATCATATACCTGTATGCAATTGTCAATAAATAAAATACCATTTAAAAGATTACCTTTAAAGAAATATTGAAGGAAATGAAGGAGTAAAATATGTCAAGATGTTCTGGGCAAAAGATACGGACAGCAGATATGCCAAGAGGTGGTAGTATACTTTAATTCCTGCACTCCAGAGGCAGAGGTAGGCGTACGTATCTCTTGATGGTGAGGCCACCCTGTTCTACACAGTAAATTCTAGGACAGCCAGGAAAACACAGAAAGAGCCTGTCTCAAAACAAAACAAAAGGCACAGTGGGTACAATGGTCTGGCTGTCGTGATGCTTCATAGGATTAGAGAACAGAGAGGGCACGAGTGTAGCTAGTGTGGCATGAGCAAGGAGTGTGCTGACAGGAGATACTAACAGAGACAATGATGGACATAGAACCAGAGCTTTGTGTGTTCTAGGTAAGTCTCTACCACTAAACTTCTTTCCTAGCCTCTGACCTTCATTTAAAAACAAAAAACAAAGAAACAAATGCCAAACCTAACTATGGTCACTATGCAGAGAATGAAATGAAACATAAAAATCAAAAGATAAATTAGGAGGCTGTTGCACTATAGATAGAAACGCTGCTGGTTTAGCAGATGACACCTGTAAGGTGCTCAAAGATGGCCATATTCTCTTGGCCCCATTGTAGCTTGGTTAGATAGGAGGAAGTAAAAATGAGGAAAAGGATACTGACTGTGGATGTGGATGGGAAAAGAATTGCGAATGTGTTTGATGCCAGAGAGATGGCTCAGTGCTGAAGAGCATTTGCAGCTGATCGGGGTTCCAGTGTGCTTGAGCCCTCACCCCAGCACTCACACGGTGGCTCACAACCTTCTGTAACTACAGTTCCAGGGGATCCAACTCCTCCCCTCTTTTGGCCTTTCTGGGGTACACAGACATCCATGCAGGCACAATACCCATACATATAAAATAGAAATGAAAAGAAAATGAAGGTGTGTGAGTTGGGTATGCTGCCTATAGTTCCAAGCTGCTTAAGACTAGACTGGATAACATAGTGAGACCCATCTCAAAACTTAATCAAAACAAAACAAACCAAGGAAATGGTAGTGACACTTGCTAAGATTGGCAGGAAGAAGTTCCTGACCAAACATGGAGCTCAAACCTCCTTTATTACTGTTAAAGAAAGCAAGGCTTAGTGAGATTAGTGATTTGCTCGAGGTAATATACGACAAGTGGTAATTTGCTAAAAGTAGAAAGCCTCCATGCTGCGATAATTAAATAGAGGAGGTTGGGAAGGAGGCTAAGTGGTGGTTAGTAGATCTTGAATGCTAAATTGAGAGAATTTTTGTTTGTTCCATCTGGCAAAAGACATTGTAAGCGGAAGAGATCACAAAGGTAATGTTTTAGGATTACAGATGCTTAGATTTAGCAGAAGCAGCAGAAATATAGAGTAATATGTGAGAGGAATTTCATTCACCAAGATAGGGCATAGAGAAGAAAAAAAACAACCTTTATGGGAATATGGGTAGGAGAAATTGAGTCTGAAGGCCTGTGGAGTGTCCTGGTAGAGGAGGGGAGTTAGGTCTGTGGCCTGAGACTCAAGAGTGAGCTGTCCGTGAGCTAGAATCCTTATAAAGATAGTAATTTATTCGATGAAAGCAGATAAAATCACTCATGGCAAATATGTAAAGTGAGAAAAAGGCCAAATATAGAGCACTGAAGAATGCTGACATTTTAAAAAGGAGCAGAGGTAGACAAGACAAACAGAAACATGGCTTCAGATGCTAGTTGGAAGAGATGTTCAAGAAAAATACAATGTTGAGCTTTTTGCAACATTTCTGATGACAAACATGTGGAAGAAAACCTAAGTTAAATTGATATATGTTTGTACAATTATCTCAAGTATCTATAGATGATAGCACCAAATGTGGGTTAGGGAGATGGCTCAGGGTTTTTAAACACACACTGCTCTTCCAGTGCACCTGAGGTTACTGGTGGTTGTAACCACCTGTAACTCGAGATCCAGGGGATCCAATGCTCCCTCTGTTCTCTGAGGCCATTTGCACTCTTGTATATACACTCCCCACCCCAAGACAGAATTGCAAATAGTTAAATAATCAATGCACTGAGTAGGACAGCTGGGGAAAGAGTGTTAAGCAAGTGTATTGGTTATTTTTCTTGTTACTGTGACACAATTGCTGACAAAAGGAACTTTAGGAAACAATGGAATAAAATGTCTATAGAGATTAAATAAGCTAAATTATTTTCCAAGGTCTCTTGAAATAAGGATTGGCTGTTGAATTTCATGGGTAAGATACAGGGGGGAAAACTGCTAATGGAACTT